ACAGTAGACATGGCTGCCTCATGATCCCTACTGAGCAGAGCTGACAGACTCAGTCTCACAGCAGTCCATCCAATGTCTGAACAACAGATGGCTCTTCAGCCCCATGAGGAAATCTACAGTGGATTTCTAAACACCAATAGTCAGCTCAAGAAGTTGCTTCCTCTGGGGATGCAGGAAGGTGGACAGCGCTTGCTACTTTACCAAAGGAGTGTTCTTCAAGAACATCGTTTTTACAAGAAGAGTAACAATGATTCACTTTTAAAAGTACAGCTTCTGATTTACCTTGCAGAATCTTGAAGAAGTTCCCACTGGCACAACAAAATCCTGAAGTCTTAGCTCTCAGCTGACTGGGTTCACTGTGTTTCCTGCATGACACCGTCCTGCCTTCCTAGGAGAAAGATGTGAGCCACAGCACAAAAGGTGAGCAGGAATAAACTATCCCTAACTATATTTGGGTCATTCCAGAATTGGAGGACATTTAGACATCAAAACTTTTGAAAAATGAACCTTTTATTCTACTTTCTATTTCTACTTAAGAAAAAGGGTTAATTGTTGCAACCTTGCATATGGTGCCAATAACAGAAAGGTAATTCATATTCATAAACATTTTCATTGTACCGCAGGGAATGCAACACCTCAAACTACCCTGAATATAGTAACAGGGTTGCAAATCAATGCTAATGTTAGCTTTTACATCAGGAATGAATGCTAGCTGCAGAATGTAATGCTACTTTCAAGGCAAGAAAGAAGCATAGATATTTAACTAAAGATATCTTTGAAATTAATTTGTCTAATTTTTATCATATGAGTAACAGGGTTGACTGTTAACACTGTTGGCTGAAAGAATAAGAAAAATATGAAAAATTACAGAGAGGACATACCTTTGGTCTACCTACCTATGGCAGTAGCACATGGCTTGATGATGTCATATCCTGTCATTTGATTGTTCACTTCCTCTGCCAAGCTTTATAGGTTTTAGTAAAGGGTTGCTTGCATGTTGAAGGACACACCTTGAGTGTTAAATGACTGTTATTTAGAACAGTTTATGATTTTACAAATTGCTTTGACCATTACAAGAGAAATATAATCAACACAATATTAGCAAATAAAGTAAAAAGTGTTTTAATTGTTTATATTTGACATGCAAGTTGGTCACCATGAGGAGCATCTTCTGTCACGGACTGTTCCACTGCACCGTGGCCAATTAACGTAACACCAGGGGCGTTTCCTGGACCTGGAAACATTAGGGGCTGAGCCCACAGTGGCGGCGCCAGAGATTTTCTTTTGGTGGTGCTGACGTTTCATAGAGGGTGCTCAAACATGTAGGGTTTCCCATTAATGTACCGGGCACTACAGTGGAATTTTCTAATGCAACACTCCCCACACACCAGTGGCAAGCCGTGACTTTTATACCTAGGCCCTCTGATCCTTTGCCACTCCAATTTATCATTGTACCTCAATCTTGAAAATGACTCTGTTAATAATTTCGCAACAATGTCATCACTATCACTGACATGAGCCATCATGAACGAATTTATGCTAATCATAAATCTATCGATCAGATTTATTATTCGAAAATTATAAAAGTAGGGTAGACATGTGGATATTATCCGGCTGAACAAAACGTGAATTTATCGAACAGGTTCGTTTTCCACAGACCTTATTTCGAGCTATTTTCCAAAATCCTAAGGAGAAATCCCATTGCTTTTTTGTCGAGGGAACTTGAAAAGTTGAACTTTTCTCAACTTTTGAAGCGAGCAACGGAGGCGACGCGACGGAACCACAATGCAGTTCGGCAAAGCCTGATGTCACCCCATTCAAAGTGAATGGGAAGCGTCTCCGTTGAAGCAACGCACGCTGCCGTGTGGACGGGCCGTTATGCAGCGTCCACACGGCAGCGTGCGTTGAAGCTTGCCGGCGGGCGTGTCTGAAACTCGACCAACAACCAATCACATGAATCTCCCGCCCCGGACACACAAGCACGCGGTTTGATTGGCTAGAGCTTGTACTGGCATATGATTTGATTGGCTGACGTTTCCGTCGAAGCTTCAAAAGTTGAACTTTTCTCAACTTTTGAAGCGAGCAACGCGAGCAAAGCGAAGCGACGGAACCACAATGCAATGCTAGCACTAGCCAATCAAACCGCGTGCTTGTGTCTCCGGGGCAGGAGATTAATGTGATTGGTTGTTGGTCGCGAGCCAGACACGCCCACCGGCAAGCTTCAACGCGCGCTGCGAAGTGGACGTACCGTTACTGTCATATAGTATTTCATACCCGTTTCTCATTTATTCTCTTATTTTTTATAACTATAATGATCACATGAAGTTGTGCCTTGGAAATAATCTTTTACATAATAATTTCATTCACTGAACACGGGAAATCCTGCCATCCTCTCTCGTGTCATGAGGTCCAGGTAAAGCACGGATAATGTATTATATATTATTGAGGGAGAATTGTCCGGGCAGCCCCGAATGCCCAGGACAGGCGACGCCACTGCGTAACACAATAGAAAAGTAGAAATAATTATCATTTAAATTGTGGTTTATAATCAGCATCCAGTACAAATACTTTTTTATATAATTATTATATTTTTGACCTTCTCTTACAACTTGTTTTTTTATGTTGTTGGTGTTTGCCCCATCATACACCAAAGCATATTCCTTGCATGTGTAAACGTACCTGGCAATAATCCTGATTCTGATGAACAGTGCTGGGCTCAGAAATGTTTTGCACTAGAGCACCCTCTGGTGGTTAAATCCTGAAACCACACTCTCTTCAATCCACTGGCTATCACCATAGACAATCACCCGCAGGCTGGCCCCTGACCTGACTTCCTTCAAGTCACATCATGTGATAGCCCGATGAGCCAGATTAGTGACATCATGAGTCATCTTTGACCCAGTTGAGATTCTATGTGCAAGGGAAGGGTTAGTTTCTGTGGAAGTAGTCCTGCGGGATGTGAATCTACAAAAGTGACATACTGTACCTGAAATTACAATGCAACCCTCTGACAGTGAAGGCAGCAGCTGTGTTCTGTTGTGTGTTGCGGCACAAAAAGTTTACATAATTAAGATTAACCAAAAATATAACATGTCATTACTGCACATAGCTAGTTATGTACATATACTCTGTTACGGCCCGTCCACACCGCGGCGTGCGTTGAAGCTTGCTCCATTTTTTGGAATATGAGGAAATGACCTGCGGTGTGTCTCTCCCAGCATACACGCGGTTTGATTGGCTGCATCAACGGGATTTGATTGGCTGACGCTTCCACCGAAGCTTCAAAAGTTGAACATTTCTCAACTTTTGCAGCGAGCCACGCCAGCAAAGCTCCGCTTCGCTTCCCACAATGCAGTTCGGCGAAAAGTGGCGTCACCCCATTCAAGTGAATGGTGAAGCTTTCAACGCACGCCGCTGTGTGGACGGGCCCTTGTTTTTTCTTAGTATCAAAATAAAGGTTATTATGGTATTTTATTATACTTGGTTCTATGTCACTAAATCTGAAATGAAAGCTTTGTTCTTTTCAGATTACAAGATATGATACACATACATGAGGTGATAAAAGGATAGTTATATGAATCACGATAGAGACACAGCATCAATAACAGAAATGTTGGATAGAATTTTCAATACTTTAACACCGACATTTTCACACTCACAGCTACAGTAAACGGAGAAAAAGGCAGTTAAAGAATGAGAGAAAATACTAAATGAAGGAGAAAACAACAAGTCCCAACCCAACCAAAAGAGTGGACTGTGGGGGAAACTTCTGTGTAGCAATGCAGGAGGAGTCACCGACTCAAAGGAGACACGGGGAGAGCTGGAGCTTTGATGTCAAACACTGATGGGTTTATTTGGAGCTTCGGCCGGAGAATTCACAAAACAAGTCAAATACCCCTTTCACACCAAGGCTTTTCCCGTTCTAGCTCCGTGCTAGAGCTTTTCTGGTTCAGAACCGGTTCTTCGGTTCAGCTCCCGCTCTGTTCACACCGCTCAGAGCCTGACTGGTGCTGCATCATTGCGTCATCGTTTGCGTGCCTGCTTCATAAAGCCAAACCCCGCGGAACCCCCTCATATCGACAACAACAACAATGGCCGATTGTATTGAAGCGCTACTCGTTTTGCTGTCGAAACGAAATGGAAGAAATGGGACGACTTTACTACCAACCTTACAGTCGTTACATGCTACATTAAAAAGTTCTTTACAATCATCATCAACTTCAACGACGATTCCATAGGAGAAAGAAGGTAAATATACGTCCTATTCGATGGCGTTAGAGCTAGCTGTTAGCCTCTGCATGCGCCAAGCTCAACATACCCAGCTTTGCAACATTAATTACTATGGTATAACATTAAAACTGATTCTCAATGTTATTTCCACAGATCATGTTGAAGCTGGCGGAAAGGCGGATGTCGCGTGATATTTGGACACAGCCCAGATCCGACGTAAGCGTGACGTATGCGGTGCTTGCTTTCTAGACAGACAACTTTTTGGTGCTTGAAACGAACCGGATTCCGGAGCTTAGAGGCGGCTCCGCTGCGGTGTGAACAGGAAAAACCGGTGCTTTTCAAGCTCCAGCTCCGAACCGGCCCTGGAACCGCGTTGGTGTGAAAGGGGTAAAAGAGTCAGAGGTTCTGACTTCACGGTAGAGTTGCCATGTCAATTCTGAAGAACTCTACCCCAGACCCATGTATTTAGCTAGTTCAGAGAGAATAATCAACATTGTGCATAACAAGATAGAATCATAACACCTCTATCAGCTGACGCCAACAGGCAGGAACAGGGAGACAAAACACTGAGAGCACAGCAGCCAAGGTTACAGGTGTCTGTGCTCAGTCAGGACAGTATGAACTGATAAACTGGGTCAAAGTTATGCGCCTTGGAAAATATTTCCCCAACATGGACCAATAGGCATTATATGTTATTTATATCTTAGTACGAAGTCTCTTTAAATGTGTTATTGGAGTTGTGATACAAGTCGGATAAAAAGGGTAAGAAATAAGGTGATAACTGACTGATTTATTGACACATGGTAAAAAGGATTTCCATTACTTTTTATGATAAAAAATATTGTTGGGAATAAATACAAAAAAACTGAGGATTTTGAAGGGGTGCTTTTACTTTGACGGGAACAAGCTGTGGATGTTTCCTTTTCCTTGGTCTTTTGTGGTTGCAGTAAACAGCTTGGAGAGTCCGTAGATGAAAGGAGCAAACTAAAAGGGGTTTGTTGACAAAAAATGAGAATAACTACCGTGGTACAGTTCTGTTTCCAGCATTCATGCTTGAATCTGTTCCTCTTTCAGGGCTTGTATTTGGCTCTCCTCCTCTTTTCTGTCCGTTACATTTGTCTCCGTTTCCTCCTCCTCCTCCTCCTCCACTGTCAGTGGTAACCACGACTCTTTGTGCAGCCTCTCGCTTGTCTCCACCTCCTGTACACTGGGTGCAGATGTCGCCTGCATGTCTGCTGGCAGGCCTTTGAACTGTTCCTCGTTCACATCATAGTCCTTCATCTTTGATTGCAGCACCCACCACCTGCCCACGAAGCCCACATCGAGCACGCGTTCATGGAGCTCCCTCCAGGGGACGGACAGATTGGAGCACTGGGCTTCGTACAGTGTGGCGTCGGGGTCGTAGTCGGCTTGGTAAGCCAGAGCGAGGATCCCCAGGCTGAGGACACGGAGCCGGCCCTCGTTACGGAGCTTCCCCAGACTCTGTACGTGTCCGTCTGAGGTCCCGTTGCGGATCCAGGGCGACAGCAGGCCCAGCTGGCCAGAGCAATCCAGAAGGGTGGCTTCGAAGGCCAGCTGGTCGGGTCGGGTGTAGAAACAGGCCCAGGTCCCGCCCAGCAGAGAGGCGTATATGGAGGCTTTGATTGGTCGCTCCCACGATCCCACCACCACTTCCCGACACGCCTCCTTGTAGTCAGTGAAAAGGCCGCGGCACCACACACCTACAGAGGGAAGGACCCAGCACTTTTAATATTTTTTGTCAGCACCAGGAAGTATTTTGTCATTTACATAATCATTTTTGTCATTTGGATGCTGTTATTTTGTTATCTTTGTTTACACTGTACACACAACATCTATAGCATGTCTGTCCGTTCTGGGAGAGGGATTTCAAATTCAAAGCACAGTAGTAGACAAATGTGCCAATGTTCCCCATAAATTGTGGGGTTTCTTTGGGAGTTCTTCCTTGTGCTTTGCAAGGGTCTAAGGATAGAGTGTGTTGATGCTGTACACACTGTAAAGCACCCCTGAGACAAATGTAAAATAAAAGTACCCTTCTTTCTCACCCCCTGCTCCTGTTTTAGTGTGTGTGTATTGTATGCTGTAGTTCAGTGTCGGTTTCTTGCACCGCTTTTTCTGACGCCTGGACTCAGCCCTCTTCAGCTGAAGATTGTGTAATTCTGTTATACTTGCTTTTGTCTATGGGTTTAAAAATATAAATAAAATGACAACTTTGTTGTGACTGTATTATTTGTTCATCTCTAACTTTGAGGCAATTTGCTTTGTTTTTAGTTTTTTTGACAGCACTAAATAGTGAAATAAGAAGAGCCTTGGTGTCCTCAACACACACACCACAATCGGGGATTGGGTAGCATCAGCGCTTTGTATTTTAAGTACTAATTATTTCATGGAAAAGTATAAAGTATAACATTCAGGATTGGCCTTTAAAACCAATGCACAGTATATTACAAAAATAGACTTTAGGTGTCAGTGCTCAACGACAACTGTTTCCCCCAGGATTACAAGGCATATATATATATGGCTGTATTTATGACTGCCTATGTTTATTAATAATGTCACGTTTTCAACAAGGATGCCGTGTCCCTCAAAAGGTTTCTCAGCATCCTCTGTGATGGAGGAGCTAATCATTAACTACTCAAATATGTTTTATATTTCATAAGGCAAGATGTAATGATTGTTCAGTGGACCGAAGCTATGCAAACACTATCAGCTGCTGTGTGGTGTGAAAACAGCCAAGGCATGACTAGTAAAAGCGACACTATGTCAAACATATTTCAGCTAGCATCTGCAGATGTTAGTTTATATGTGCTAGTTACAATGGCACAGTAAACGTATCTAAAACACATGACAAAACCTGTCTTGTGGTGTGTCGCTACTCAAAACACATGACAAGTGAACTGCGTAGTATGGAATATAACTTTAACCTGTAAATCGAGAGATACCTAGTGGTGTCCCCATCACCTGAACGTTGAATTAACCTTAAGCTTACATTACACTAGCTAACGTTCCAATAGCTAGCATTAGCATATTGAGTTTCTCACCAACTTTACTCTTCTTCAGTCTCTCCCATCTGCTGCCGGGGACCGGAGCCGCTGCTGTCTCCGCCGCCGTGCACAGCGTCCTCCTCAATACACGCCACGAAGCCATTCCAGATTAATTCAGTCCCGAGTGCAGTCAGTCACCTTCAGGCCGAGCAAACATGCTGATAGCCAGGAAGACAGCTCACATGCCGGAGCCAAAATGGCGCCCCTCAAGGTGAATCATTTTCATCTTCCGACAGCAAACTCTACCTCGCAAACGTTCCGCTTTCTGTCACCATAGGCTTTCATATTTTAATAGATCGTGTAATTGTGTTAGAAACAAACGTTTATTAATATGTTATTGAATCTAATATGTCACTCAACTATATATTACACAGTATTATATATTTAAATAAACAAACCTCCTTTTAGAAAGACTCAAATGAGTCACGTGACAGCTTTGTTTACGTGGTGACGTGTACCGGAAGCTAACAGACTGACTGTCAACTCGCTACAAAGACAGATGCTAGCAGTGTGTGATTATTTTCTGTCCGTTTATTTAACCTACGTGTACTGGGGTTGGTATATTTAATTTGGCTTCTGTAAAATCTTCAAACAAATGAGAAACATAAGTGTTGTGTGAATGTAGCCGAGCGTTAGCCCGGATCAGCTGTCACACAGGACATCCTGCTGCCGAGGAGCACAGGTGGGTTTAACCTGTTCTCAGCACAAAGCCAAGGAACAACTATAATTTAAACATTATTTCTTAACATTCGAATCTATACTTTAAAGAGATTGCTTGGTAAGGTTGAAGATTGGCTAATGGACAGATGATTGATGTATAATACCTTATTTTTGACTGACAGAAAGGAATCCCTAGTATGTAAACGTGTTTTACCTGTGTCTTCTCCTAGGTATTGCATGAGGTTGCTGTTTGATCACTGAAGCAATGGCCAGTCCTAATGATCTGCAATTCCAAGGTAAAGGCTGACATTTAAATTAATCTTACTCAGATTGGCACATGTATGCAGGGACGTGCACAGACATTTTGGGGGGCGGGAGCTCAAGTGGGAAAAAGGGCACTTCCCATAATCATTTATAAAAAAAAAATTTAAAACAAAAAGTTAAATATAGTTGCACATCTCTGACTTACCGACCAATTTATTTTAATACCCTCACACTCACGCAATTGTTTAATACTCAACATAATTCTACAAAATAATCAGCTAACACAGAGACAATGGCCTTCTTTAGTATTCACTACGCACAAGAGCAGACAAGAAACTAGTACAATTTAATAGTTATTAAATGAGCAGCTAACAATCAAAATTATGAAGTTACTGTTTAAGGACATTACAGGCAAAAATATCGTTTTTTCATGTACTTGTACATTTTGTTATTTTGGTCTATTTTGCTTCCATGTTTTCTTTCACTCTAATGGAAAGAAAAGTTCCAAAAAACACATATAAATGGTGTTCGTTTTACTACCATGTCTGAATTCATCTATAGCCTAGATTTAAAGCTAATCTGCATATTTAAACATAACATTTCAGGGGAAAATACTGATTTGACGTAAGTAACTATCTGGGGAAGTTGTGAGGTGATATGTTTTTTTGTTTGTTTTTTGTTTTATCCTTTTCACCTGCAATGCCTTGGTAACTGCATGCAAATTAGCGCATTTTAATTAAGATAAGATAAGAGATAAGATAGTAGACTACTTTATTACTAGTGTACTAGTTAACGCCCAATTTGCATATCAATGTGGCGATTGTGATGACGTTGTTAGATACACATTTTACTGTATTCACCAGTAGTGTCTCCCCTTAAGTACAGTAGGCTACATTAGCCTGAATGCCATGACAAATTGCCTTAGCTAAACCTTGAGCTAACTTACCCATTAGCTAGTAGCCTACCTAGTTAACTATATTTGTTTTTGTCTTTTGGCTAATTAGTTGTAAACTCGAGGCACTGGCAGTTTAGTCATTTGTTCATCATCACTCACCTTCACACAAGCCAAGAAAAGCCGGCATAACATGGGACAGTAAGGTGGGAGGTGCTGCTACCTGTGTGTCTGAAGTGACTGCCGATGTCCGCACCGCTGTGCGCGAGACGTGGAGGGAGGGAGGGAGGGTAGAGAGAGCATCGGAACTTCACAGTCTAATCTCCTGACCTGATATTTTTATTTTGTATTCAATCAATATATTTTTGGAAAGGGAAACTGTGCACAAACAGCAGTAGGCTAGATATATATTCATTTATTGGAGAGAAAAAAAAAAGCACCCCATAAAAAGGGCACTTCCTCTGGAGGAAGAAAAAGGGCAAGGACTCAAGCCAACTTTGATGTCTATGTGTGCACGTGCCTGCATGTATGGCTTTGCTATTATAATCCTTCCTAATGCAACCTTTAAACCAACCTTGCCTCCCAACATTTTAAGGAATGTTTGGGGACAATTTTGTTAAGTGTAAAAGTATGCATTTCTTAAATGAAAACAAATCTTGTACCAAATGCACAAAGAACAGTGTCATCATATGACTGAATGGAAATGAGTTGATCGATTTTTGACAATGTGTTTCTTAACTATAGGCTCTCTCTGGATGTAATTCATGATAATGGGTAAATTAGATAACAAGTTTAAAAGAAGGAAACATCAATTAGATACAAAATAAAAGTTATTTATAACATTTTCCTGGTGTAAAACAGAAGTGAAATGTCAAAACAACGGGCTGGCAGAGTCCAATCTTTAACAGATTAACAATAAAGGACTGTGTTTTGCTGATAAAGACTCCGGCTAAGGGGGGGTCCTCTCCTCTGAACAGTCAGGGGCGCAGTGAGACATACACGAGAAGCAAGGACACATGATTTGAATTAGAAGCACCTCAGTTCTGCAGTAGATTTATTGTAACCCTTTTTTTGTTTTTTACCCTGCACAATTTGCGCATAGTGTGCTCAAACCGCCTCACTGCCATTCAAATCTTTAAAAAAAAAATACAGCAACTTATTTGCACATGTTTGTTTATAAATATATACATTTTTTAGTAGATTTTACTATTGAAGAGTACTCTAAATAATGATGTGTATTGTATGTGTGTATTATTTAGATATGTTAAAATGCTCCTTAATGTAATATGTAATCCAATTGAATCAGTTACAGTGAACTCTAGTGGCACATTGGTCATATCTAACATTTATTTGACTGCTTAAGAACTCCAATTTACATTATCCATTTCCCAAATAGTTTGGACTATTTTGTAAATTAGATAAGTAATGTGTACCCTCACAAGTATCACTCAATACCTGTGTGTTGATGCATGTTTGTAGAGTTTGAGGAAGCAGCAGAGCTGTTGTCTGCAGACCCCGGGGCCTCCACCCTCAGTATGTCTGCCTCAAACACCAGCACTACAGCAGCAGGAGGGGGAGGAGGAGGAAGAGGAGGAGGGGAGGATGTGAAGCTAGACCTCTCAGAGGAGGAGGGTGAGGAGGAGAGTTCAGAGGTGAGTAAAGTTTCCGTTGAGTCATGACACGATGACATGGGCTGCTGCAGATATTTGATGTTCGATATCTTGATGTGCTTCCAGCTGTTAGGAGGACAGAAACCAACGGGTGGCTTCTGGACCTTTGAGTACTATCAGTCCTTCTTCAATGTTGACACAGTGCAGGTATGAGACCCACCTCTCTGCAAAAACACTCACATGTTACAGTACTATGATTATGGTGATTTTGTCAAGGTAAACCAAGATTAACTAAAACATGTACATATTTTATCATAAAAATTACTTTTGTTTTGCTTTACGCCCTATCATGTGATGTAGGTTCTGGACAGAGTGAAGGGGTCACTGATGCCATTACCTGGAAGAAACTTTATCAAACACAACCTTAGGAGCAACCCAGATCTGTATGGTAATGTGTTATTTTATATTTCTCTTTTATAATTCTTTATGATGTCTGGACGATGAAGGCCCTGTTTTTTTTTTTTTTTGCTGTTTTAATAGTCATAGGCTACAATGATTGAGGTTAGGAGTGACACTATTTCAAATCAAAAATCAAAAATGGATCAAAGTTAGTTTTGATTTTGAACCTTGGAATGACTCTCTACTATTGCAGGTTTAAAGAAAAAACACTGACAACGACACTGCATAGTTGCTGCAGCTCAAAGACAACACAGTGTAGTTTACCGTTAGCATACAGCTGAACTAAAGAGTTCTCATGAACTAAGTTCTGATGAACCTTTGTGGGAAAAGTACTGCGGTGTGAAAGCGCCTAGTGTAGTTTATCGTTAGCATACAGCTCAAAAACAACACAGTGTAGTTTACTGTTACATACAGCTCAGAAAAAACACTTGTAGTTTATCGTTAGCATACAGCTCAAAGAAACCATAGTGTAGTTTACCATTAGCAAATAGCTCAAGTACAACACAATGTAGTTTACCATTAGCATACTGCTCAAGCACAACCATGTGTAGTATACCGTTAGCATACACCTCAAAGTCAACACTGTAGTTTACCGTTAGCATACAGCTCAAAGACCACACAGTGTAGTTTACCATTAGACTACAGCTCAAAGACCACCCAGTGTAGTTTTCTGTTAGCATACAGCTCAAAGACCATATAGTGTAGTTTACCATTAGCATACAGCTCAAAGAAACCATAGTGTAGTTTACCATTAGCATACTGCTCAAGCACAACCATGTGTAGTATACCGTTAGCATGTACACCTCATAGACAACACTTTAGTTTACCGTTAGCAAATAGCTCAAAGACCACACAGTGTAGTTTACCGTTAGCATACAGCTCAAAGACCACACAGTGTAGTTTACCGTTAGCATATAGCTCAAAGATGAAACGATGTAGTTTACCGTTAGCATACAACTCACAGACAACATAACAGTTTATCGTTAGCATATATTATATATTGGCAAGAAAATCTACAAGAGATTGTACAGTGCAATCAGAGAGATACAGTATGTCCACGTTTTTGAGCAAGTCCACAAATCCAGTCTTTGTCAAGTCTGTCACCACCTTCGCGCAGCTGCTGGCGCCACTTCGTCCGGTCCTCCGCCAGCCTCTCCCAGTTGTCCAGGGCTTTACGACATCCTTGAAGCGCAGCAGTGGTCGTCCTCTGCCTCTGGAACCAGTGCTCAGCTCACTGTATACGATGTCCTTTGGCAGGCGGCCATCTCCTGACCTTCAATGTTTGGAATATTGACTTGCTGCCCGTGCGCACCAGCACCGCCTTGTTCGTGACCTTGTCCCGCCATGTGATCCCGAGGATGTTGCGCATGCACATGTGAAAAGCATTTAGCTCTCTTTCGTGCCGCGCGTAAGTTGACCACGCCTCGGAACCATACAGCAGGACGCTGACCACGCAACATTGGTAGATACGTGTCTTAGTGCGCTCGGTGAGGTATTTGTTGCTCCAGGCTCTTGAGCGCAAACGACTGAAAGACGACAGGTCACTGCTGATTGTTGAACCAAGATACGTGAACTGGTCAACAGTCTCCAGCACATGCTCGTTCACCATTACCGGTGACGCTGCGCTTCCCGCTTGGTGCATAACAACTGTCTTTTTTATGTTGATGATCAGTACAAATTCAGAGCATGCTGCAGTTCAGAGCATGCCCAGTTTCTACAAGATGGCGAACAGTCCTTCCCGACTCACCATGTCGAACGCCTTCGTCAGGTCGACAAACGCCATGTGCAGTGGTTTGTTTTGCTCTCTGCACTTTTCTTGCACCTGGCGCACCGTGAAGACCATGTCTGTTGTTGATCGGCCACTTCGAAACCCGCACTGTGACTCTGGGTATACGCGAGCGGCCAGTTTCTGGAGCCGCACCAGCAGAATTCTGGAGAAGACCTTGCCAAGCACGCTCAGTAGCGAAATGCCACGGTAGTTGTTACAGTCCCCTTTGTCGCCTTTGTTCTTGTAAAGCGTGATTAACTTGGCGTCCGATGGGAAAGCGCCAGCATTGACAGAGCAGCTTGTGCATGTGCGGCAGTAAGCAGCTGTCACATTTGAGGAGATCAGCCGGGATGCCGTCCGTGCCCGCAGCTTTGCCCTTAGCAGTGTGCTTCAGCGCGTTCACTAGCTCTGCCATGGTTGGCAAGTTGTCCAGCTCAGCATTGATGTCAAAGCTGGGTGTTGAGGCCAAAGCCACGTCGTTGATGCTCCTTGGTTTGCCATAGAGCTCTGAGTAGTGCTCAACCCATCGTGACATCTGCTGCCCTGTGTCAGTGATCAGTGCTCCTTCTGCAGACTTCAGCGGACACACCTTCTTTGCTCTCTGCCCAATAGCCTTGTTCAGGCCCCTGTACAGTTCCCGCAGGTTACCAGTGTCTGAAGCCTGTTGGATGTCATCGCAGAGCTTGTTCCAGTACTGGTTAGCACAGGATCGAGCTGTCCTCTGAAGTTCACGCTGCGCATCCTTGAGTGCAGTGAGAGAACTCTGTGTTGCCCGTTGCTTGTACACTTTGTGCGCCTTGTTCTTGGCAGCGAACAGCGGTTCCAGGACTACAGCATTTTTGGCCATCCAGTCTTCTTGTGGCGGCCTTTTCGTGCCAAAAGATTCGGTAGCCGCGTCAGGCATAGCAGCTCGCAGGCTCTGCCAGTTCTCTTCTGGTCCTGTGCCGGTACTGCTTGCAGCCATCTTCTTTGCAAACGACTTCCAGAATGCTATGACATTTTCTGCGCACTTCATTCTTGCGGTGTTTAGGCGCGGCTTCTCTTTTTGTCTTGGGGTGGGTTTCGTTTAGGCATGTTCATCTGGGTTAGAACAAGCGAGTATCACCATCAGCAGTGTGGTAAGTTCTGGAGCATCTGACTAGGCCAATGTCACATCTTCTGACCAAAGCTAAGTCTAGATGGTGCCAGTGCTTGGACCGTGGATGCATCCATGTCACCCGCCGACGTTGCTTCTGCTGGAACCAAGTGTTTGCAATGCAGAGCCCATGTTGACTGCACAGCTCGAGAACTCGCTGTCCGTTTTCGTTGATTTTCCCGACACCAAAGCAACAGATTGCATCCGGCCATGCCAGATAATCGGCGCCGACGCGAGCATTGAAATCGCCGATCAGCATCACGCAGTCCTCGGGGGGAATCTTGTTCAAGACGCCTGCCATGCTGTTGTAGAACTGGTCCTTGACCGCAGCTTCACTCGGCAGGCGTAGGCACATATCAGATGTATTGGGCTGGCTGATTGCTTGAGCGTCAGGGAAATGATCCTTTTTGACACACCGACAGGGGTGTCAAACTCTTGCACCAGCTTGTTGGACACTACAAAGCCTACGCCGTGTGTGCGGTGTTCATCTTTGGCTTTTCCCATCCAGAAGATGTGTAGTTTTGCTCTTTGATAGAACCAGACTCGGCTAGGTACGTACATTCCAGCTTCCCAGCCGGAGATGTAAATTTAAATAAAAATTTGAAATCCGCTCTTTATTACGGTTTAGAGTTTTTCTTTGATTGGTAGGTGAAATTGTAACGTCCATGCTTGCTGCGACCACCCCATCGAAGCAATAGACGTGGCGGGTCAGAACCTAACTGGCCAGGGGCTGCCTGGCTTGAGGCGGGCGGTAGATGACCATTGGGGCACGATGACCCCTCCCACCGACGCAGAGGACCCGTGGCGCTCCGTCCTACGCCAATCTGACTGGAGTTTATAACCCGTAGACTGTTGCTCTGCCGTGTTGTTTCCCCGGCGCCTTTACGATGCCGCGATGAAGTGTCCTCTCCATTGCACTTGCCCGGGCGGGAATGAAGGCTCCAGCGTTGCCCAAGCTGCAGGAACCACACTTGGCCTCCGCTGGCAGGACTCCAAGGAAAGACAGAGGTCAATACGTTGGCGCCAGCATTGGCTGCAGGAGATGGCCGTTGGCTCACGAGGAGCTCATCCGCCCTTTGACAGGTTTTGTATTTAGTCCTGCTGGGTGTCTCCATCACCCTCCACACAATACCGAGGCCAGGTGGGGGAGCCGGTTTAGTCGCTGTTAGTATACAGCTCAAAGATGACACTGTGCAGTTTACCATTAGCCTGCTGCTCAAACCCTGGATCGCAAATAAATATGAAGTGATGCAACGTAATTAAGATCTCCGCATTTGTTGGGAAACATACTGAGGCAAAGAATACAACCCATGACAGGACAGTGGCTTTTTTATTTTGGACAAAACACAACAACAACCTTATATATGCTAATAAAAATCAAAAGGCACAGAACATCTTCCAAACATATTTTTGTTTCTTACAGCTTTAAAGGGCCAAGTTCGGGACTCAGATTTAGGCTGGAGGAAGATTGTTTGATGAGATTTACAATATTACAGAAAGTCTTCATGAACAGTTGTTTGTTTATAGGTCCGTTCTGGATTTGTGTGACCCTCGTGTTCTCGGTAGCGATCGGCGGAAACCTGTCCAGCTTCCTCAGTGAGAAGGGGAACCCTTCGTACCACTACAGACCTCAGTTCCACAGAGGTCAGTCCTCAACAAGCTTACATTGACCTCAGTAGTTTTTTCCTACTTGTATTGAGTCATGCTGAGCCTGCAGTCTTTGTCCTGATTTTTACTAACAGTGACGATAGCTGCACTCGTGATCTTCATGTATGCCTGGTTGGTGCCCATTGGTTTATGGGGTTTCCTGACCTGGCGGCAAGGGGCTGAGAGGCAGATCGGAGGCTATTCATTCCTGGAGACTGTGTGTGTCTACGGCTACTCCCTCTTCATTTACATCCCAACCTCGGTAAGTCTATTACCTTTTAAAGTTTTACTAGCAGGTTCAGTGCATTACTTCTTGGTTTACTGTAGAATGTAGTGTATAATTGACTGTAGAATGCACCACAGCAACTGTAGAAAGTACTGAAAACCTCTATGAAACCTGATGTACTTATATGATTCTGTTTTCTTCAAGTTTGTATCTTCTTGGTCGAATGCACTTATTGTAAGTCGCTTTGGATGAAAGCATCAGCTAAATGCAATGTAATGTAATGTACTGTATCGTGTTGAAGTGATATTGAAAAGAGTGTCACTCAACTGTCTGATCTGCTCCATTGTTTGACGTTCATGAGAAACACAAAGACAAGAGGGCTGGATACCTGGGTAGAATTAAAATAATGATGTGCAGAATCTCAGGAAATGCTTGGACAGATTAAGAAAAATATGAATTATTTTATCTAATTTTATCAGTACATTAGGCGAGCAGTGTTATTTTCCTTTTTAAACTGGGTTGTACACTAGTTGTTGTACCCTACTGTTTACACAAACTGTATCTTACTAGATACCAAGTAAAATCAAAAAGGTTGTCACTAGTTAAATAGTGACCATGATATTTTTCTCACTAGTTGACTAGCAAAATACATTTTTGTCTCACTAGTCTGGCTCCAACATGTTGGGTTTTTCCTTTAACTAGTTAAGTGTTGCCCAGTACTAGTGAGCGGCTGTAGAACACCGGTTCAATATTATTGGCCTTTTTTATTTGTTTGTGACTAATTGTGGTGTTCAGCTTTCTAACAACAAAATGACCTGCTAGTTGACATGTATGTTCAACCAGTTAACCTAGTGACCAAAACTCACTTGTCAATATTTAATATGTAAAGTTAGGCACTTTACAAGTTAACGAGTCAACATCTGTGCCTTGACTAATAAACATGTAACAAAGTGTATGCAACTAGTTATCAAGTAAAGGCAAAATTAACCAAACTAGTGCAAGTAGTGAATATTTTGACCTATACAAGTTAACCCGAAAAACAAGTCTCTAGGCCATTTTGACCAAGAGCAAACGTTAGCGAACATAGCCAGGCTTTCTGCTGGCCAGGCAGGCGAGGTAACTGCATTACCACGAGTCCTCAACAACACACATGCCAAACGTGAAGTAGATCAGTCCGAAAGCTGGCGAGATAATCAAAACTCAGTCACAGGATGGTTGCAATGTGCTGTCTTCTCCAGGTTCTGTGGATCATTCCCTTTGAATGGTTGCGCTGGACCCTGATCCTGGTTGCCATGGTGATCTCTGGCTCAGTTCTGGTCCTCACCTTCTGGCCGGTTGTGCGCGAGGACACCAAGGTGATGGCAGTGGCTACAGTGGTGACCATAGTGGTTTTGCATACGCTGCTGGCTGTCGGCTGTAAGGTGAGTGACGGCTTCATACGGCTTACACATTTAACCTAGACAGAATAATATTACATAATGATAATAATAAATGTTTATGTTTTCTTTCAGATGTACTTCTTTCAGACCGAAGTCCATGTTCCATCAGCGGTGCCTATTACCCCCACGATTAACATGACAATTGCCACGAAAGCCCACTAACCAAAGGGTGCTGGCAGCGAGGAAATGAAGGAAGTGTCTGTTGTTTGGAATCACATGCAGCTATAAAACATGTAGAAGCAGGAGGGTTAAGTGATATGTTCTATAGTAGCGTGATGAAGCGCTGGGACAGGAGTGTGGTTGTTTGTCTCATTTATCCTGAGTTGGGTCTACTGGGACACTGCAATATTTCTACATTTTTACTGTGATGTTTCAGGATGTGGTGCAACGTATTAGTCCACATAACACTGTGATTTCCCCGAAGATTCACACAAAGTTATTATTTAGAATAATTAGTTAGAATTACCAACGATATTAGAAAATATCCAAACCAGTTACAATCAGAAAACCATGCAGCCAGCAATCATTACTTCTTACGAGTTATCAAAGAGACAACAAGGTATCCATCAGTACGTGTTAATATCATTATTGTTGGCAACAATAGGATCTCGTAAAAAAAAGCTATGATAAAGAACCCAGTTTTACAAAAAATTTCACCAAAGCTGTTGAAACTAACATTGGTGAGGACAGGGAACTGCCACCATGATTATTTGATCATTTCATGAAGCAGGGGATTACACATTTATTTTTTTAGTTGTTTAGTTTACAAAGGATTACAAATAATTAGAGAAAATGCTCGTTCAACATTTTCCAAGCCCAAAATTATGATTTTGTAGTAGGAGGTCTGAAATATTATTTGCTGGATAAATCCGAGAATATTGTGAAAACAATACTAGGGGGTATTATCATACTAGGAAATACACAGGTTTTTCTGATAACATTAATGATAGCTTTGTTCTATCGATCCAGAAGCCTAAAGCTAAAGTAGCTAAATGGAATTCAGCTATCATTAATTTCCCTATTGAAACTTTATACACATATCATTCAAATTGTAACTACAGGCTACCAAGTAATTTTTAGTTTTAGATACCAGGAGTTTCTGACATTATTGCCACCTCCCTCGTGTATAAAAAAAGTGTTAAAAAAACAAATGGCTGCAAGACAACCAACAATGGCATTCAATCAATTAGACACATTTCACTGAGCAAATTAGATAATCCGCCAATCCGGGCTAGTTAAATTACGAGACTGCAAGGCTAGAAGCTATGCCTGAACGCTACGTTTTTTTGCGCTGCTGTGACATGGCAAAGAGTATAAATACTTGGGTAAACCCATGAACTCCAGCCAAAAGCAGTTATTTAAAAATAATTAGCAAATGTTAGCATGCTAATTAAGATGAACATAGTAACATAGTAAGTTAGCATTTTTCATTTATGGTAAGCTGCTGCTAACATTATTTGAGCTAACTCAGTTAGCCACAGAGCTACTAGCATGGCTGCTGACTTTGACATTAGCTCAGTTAGCCACAAACCTGCTAGCAGGGCTGAAAACTATTCTCTCTAAGTGAATAAATGACATGTCCTATTAATAGTTTCTATCTAATAAATAATCAGATAGTGCAGGGTTAAGAATGTTTCAATGATCTAAGAGTGATGCACCACCTCTCCAACCTGTAAGGAACCTTCACTTACTAAATGAGTTTTTGTGATGTTATTGCAGTTAGGATTAATTGTAAATTGAGAAATGTGTTTATGTTTGCAGAACTATTTATTCCCTACTGTGATGCTGTTTAGGGATTTTTGTTGTTAATAAACGTTGTGCTTCATCCGGTATTTCATCTTAATTTAATTAATTTGACAATAACACATTCCTGAGTTCTGATTGGTTAGTACGTTTCCTTTAGTACTGGAGAGCCAATGGGAAGTCTCAAATAACGGTCCGTGTACGTTTTGTTAGTTAGATTTTTCGTTTAAACCAAAAGGCAAAAAACGAAAATACCAGCCTTTTTTCGTTTTTTATTTAAAACGAAAAAACGGGAAACCATAGCCGTTTTTTCCGTTTTTGTTGTCTGAATCAAAAGAAGGATAACGAGAAAACCTCATTAAAAAAAGTCTGTACGTTTTGTTAGTTTGATTTTTCGTTTGAACCAAAAAAATGAAATTACCAGCCTTTTTTCCTTTTTAAATCAAAAACGAAAAAACGGGAAACCAAAGCCATTTTCCCATTTTTGTTGTTTGAATAAAAAAACGGATAACAAGAAGACCTAATTAAACTACAAAATGCATTTCCTGCAGAAAATGCGTGCGAATGCTGTAAACTGTGAACATTTGTGGCTGAATTTAGCTGAAAATGCAGAAAAAGCTGAATATGTTATTAGCTGAATGGTAGCTGCTTTTAGCTACAAAAATGCAGAAAAAGCTTAATATTTAAAAGAAAAGGTTTAAAAAAAGGTATAAACCACAACATGTATAGCCTTGATGTCCTGAAATAGCTGAATAATGTAATAGTTGAATGGTTTCTGCAGCTGAAAATAGGCTGAAGGAGTTAAATATCAGATGTAAGTAGTAGTGAATGAATTTGTATTAAGATGAGAAAAGAAAGTAAAAAGGCTTGGGAAAGCAGCAGAATATTTGAACTGCAAACTTTTGAACTAACTTGATTGTGAATTATTTGTCGCCATGGCAACGGCATTTGATGACACCCCATAATACGCTTAGATGTGTTGATGGCTGCATCGTTACCAAACCTGTGAAGTTTTGGGCCATTTCGAGCATTTTCACTGAAGTTATGAGAAAACCGTGTTTCATGGTGAGCATTGTGTTGCCATGGCAACGGCATTTGAAGAAATCTCAAAACTGTCCCGTAGATGTCTTCACGGCTGGACTGTTAGCACACGTGAAGTTTGAGCACTTTTTGAAAATGTTCATAGGAGTTATACATTACATTAGGAGGTTACATTACTCTCTCTCTTCTCTTGATCGCCCTCTCTCTTCTCTTGATCACCCTCTCAATCTTCTATCGCCCTCTCTCTCTTCTCTTGATCGCCCTCTCTCTCTTCTCTTGATCGCCCTCTTCTCTTGATCGCCCTCTCTCCCTCCTTGATCGCCCTCTCTCTCTTCTCTTGATCGCCCTCTCTCTCCTCTTGATCGCCCTCTCTCTCTTCTCTTGATCGCCCTCTAACTCTTCTATCACCCTCTCTCTCTTCTCTTGATCGCCCTCTCTCTCTTCTCTTGATCGCCCTCTCCCTCTTCTCTTGATCGCCCTCTCTCCCTCCTCTTGATCGCCCTCTCTCTCTTCTCTTGATCGCCCTCTCTCTCTCCTCTTGATCGCCCTCTCTCTCTTCTCTTGATCGCCCTCTCTCTCTTCTCTTGATCGCCCTCTCACTCTTCTATCACCCTCTCTCTCTTCTCTTGATCGCCCTCTCCCTCTTCTCTTGATCGCCCTCTCTCTCTCCTCTTGATCGTCCCTCTCTCTCTCCTCTTGATCACCCTCTCCTCTTGATCGCCCTCTCTCTCTTCTCTTGATCACCCTCTCACTTTTCTATCACCCTCTCTCTCTTCTCTTGATCACCCTCTCTCTTCTCTTGATCGCCCTCTCTCTTCTCTTGATCGCCCTCTCTCTCTCCTCTTGATCGCCCTCTCTTCTCTTGATCACCCTCTCACTCTTCTATCACCCTCTCTCTCTTCTCTTGATCGCCCTCTCCCTCTTCTCTTGATCGCCCTCTCTTGATCGCCCCTCTCTCTCTTCTCTTGATCGCCCTCTCTCTCTCCTCTTGATCGCCCTCTCTCTCTTCTCTTGATCGCCCTCTCTCTCTTCTCTTGATCGCCCTCTCTCTCTTCTCTTGATCGCCCTCTCACTCTCCTCTTGATCGCCCTCTCCTCTTGATCACCCTCTCTCTCTTCTCTTGATCGCCCTCTCTCTCTTCTCTTGATCGCCCTCTCTCTCTCCTCTTGATCGCCCTCTCTCTCTTCTCTTGATCACCCTATCACTCTTCTATCACCCTCTCTCTCTTCTCTTGATCGCCCTCTCTCTTCTCTTGATCATCCTCTCACTCTTCTCTTGATCGCCCTCTCTCTCTTCTCTTGATCACCCTCTCACTCTTCTATCACCCTCTCTCTCTTCTCTTGATCGCCCTCTCTCTCTTCTCTTGATCGCCCTCTCTCTCTTCTCTCTCTCTTCTCTTGCTCGCCCTCTCTCTCTTCTCTTGATCGCCCTCTCTCTCTCCTCTTGATTGCCCTCTCTCTCTTCTCTCTCTCTTCTCTTGCTCGCCCTCTCTCTCTTCTCTTGATCGCCCTCTCTCTCTCCTCTTGATCGCCCTCTCTCTCTCCTCTTGATCGCCCTCTCTCTCTTCTCTTCATCGCCCTCTCTCTCTTCTCTTGATCACCCTCTCACTCTTCTATCACCCTCTCTCTCTTCTCTTGATCGCCCTCTCTCTCTCCTCTTGATCGCCCTCTCTCTCTTCTCTTGATCGCCCTCTCTCTCTTCTCTTGATCGCCCTCTCTCTCTTCGCTTGATCGCCCTCTCTCTTCTCTCTCTCCTCTTGCTCGCCCTCTTGATCGCCCTCTCTCTTCTCTTGATCGCCCTCTCTCTCTCCTCTTGATCGCCCTCTCTCTCTTCTCTTGATCGCCCTCTCTCTTCTCTTGATCATCCTCTCACTCTTCTCTTGATCGCCCTCTCTCTCTTCTCTTGATCACCCTCTCACTCTTCTATCACCCTCTCTCTCTTCTCTTGATCGCCCTCTCTCTCTTCTCTTGATCGCCCTCTCTCTCTTCTCTCTCTCTTCTCTTGCTCGCCCTCTCTCTCTTCTCTTGATCGCCCTCTCTCTCTCCTCTTGATTGCCCTCTCTCTCTTCTCTCTCTCTTCTCTTGCTCGCCCTCTCTCTCTTCTCTTGATCGCCCTCTCTCTCTCCTCTTGATCGCCCTCTCTCTCTCCTCTTGATCGCCCCTCTCTCTCTTCTCTTCATCGCCCTCTCTCTCTTCTCTTGATCACCCTCTCACTCTTCTATCACCCTCTCTCTCTTCTCTTGATCGCCCTCTCTCTCTCCTCTTGATCGCCCCTCTCTCTCTTCTCTTGATCGCCCCTCTCTCTCTTCTCTTGATCGCCCTCTCTCTCTTCGCTTGATCGCCCTCTCTCTTCTCTCTCTCCTCTTGCTCGCCCCTCTTGATCGCCCTCTCTCTTCTCTTGATCGCCCTCTCTCTCTCCTCTTGATCGCCCTCTCTCTCTCTTCTCTTGATCGCCCTCTCTCTCTTCTCTTGATCACCCTCTCACTCTTCTATCACCCTCTCTCTCTTCTCTTGATCGCCCTCTTTCTCTCCTCTTGATCGCCCTCTCTCTCTTCTCTTGATCGCCCTCTCTCTCTTCTCTTGATCGCCCTCTCACTCTTCTATCACCCTCTCTCTTCTCTTGATCGCCCTCTCTCTCTCCTCTTGATCGCCCTCTCTCTCTTCTCTTGATCACCCTCTCTCTTCTCTTGATCGCCCTCTCTCTCTTCTCTTGATCGCCCTCTCTCTCTCCTCTTGATCGCCCTCTCTCTCTCCTCTTGATCGCCCTCTCTCTCTCCTCTTGATCGCCCTCTCTCCCTCCTCTTGATCACCCTCTCTCTCTTCTCTTGATCGCCCTCTCTCTCTCTTCTCTTGATCGCCCTCTCTCTCTCTCCTCTTGATCGCCCTCTCTCTCTTCTCTTGATCACCCTATCACTCTTCTATCACCCTCTCTCTCTTTTCTTGATCGCCCTCTCTCTCTTCTCTTGATGTGTCCGTGAGAGAGAGGGAGTGTGTGTGTGTGTGTGTGTGTGTGTGTGTGTGTGTGTGTGTGTGTGTGTGAGTGAGTGAGTGAGTGAGTGAGTGAGTGAGTGAGTGAGTGAGTGAGTGAGTGAGTGAGTGAGTGAGTGAGTGAGTGAGTGAGTGAGAGAGAGAGAGAGAGAGAAAATTGTTACAGCTCAAATGCATTGCAATGACTTCCATGTTAAAAAAAGACTTTAAAAAGCTGAATGTTTTAAAAAGTATAACATATTTTGAAAAAGTTGAAAGTTTCTCCATCATGTGCTGAAAAGGCTGAATAGTTTGATATTTGAATGGTTCCTGCAGCTGAAATTAGGCTGAAGGAGTTAAATAAAGATATTAAATGTAAGTAGTAGTGAATTAATGTTTACAAACACCTGTGTGTGTAAACCCAGAGATGAAAGGTTACCATGGTGACGACTTATGACGATTTACCAACTGCAGCACTGAGTCCCATTAAGAATGCATTGAGGATTATATCTGACAATTTTGCCACTTGTTCAAAAACTATGGCTCCTATCAAAAAATGACCAGACCGTGAGCATCAGGGAACCCCAATGAACTGATATATGTTTGTTTTTTTTGGTTTTGTGTGTAAAATGTGGAGATGGGAGCAGTTTGTCTAAAGTGTACTTCTCTCTGTTCTGAAGAAAGTTCCGGAAAGATTTAACATGGGAATCAATTGGGAGCTAGGTGGACTTTTTGTCTCTTCATACCCTCAAGAGGCATTTTGTTTAATATTTCTTCTTAATTTTTTATTTATTTTCCAACCTAGGAGAGGTTTTCCTACGTTTTTCATGAAAAAATATGTCTCAGGAGTGTAGGGTTTGGGAATTATGGCAAGTTTAAAACATTTTTTGGGGAGAATTTGAAGCACTGCTGCACTCTGACTTAACGAGCTGCTCCATCCACACTAATGTTAAAATCTGAAAAAGGCCTCTCTACCAAGCTCTAAACTAAGTTAAATATCTCAAAAAGTGTAAAAGATATCAAAAATCTGAATAAGAATTGAATAGCTGAAGGTGTTGTGGTCATTTGAAAGTTGGAATGAA